TATTCCTTGTTCAGAGGATTATTTGCCACTAATTTTTAAATGCCGTTTTAAAATGAAAATGTTGTAGTATGGACGCAGCCTTAAAGTGTTGCCTTGTGATCGGATCACCTGAGACAGATGTTCATCCCAGGTCTGAACAGGTCTGAACAGGGCCTATGACTGTCCAACAGAGGTGGGAATAAGTCACACATGTGCAAGTCTCAATTTACTGTGGTGAGAATCCAGACAAGTTATGATGATCATCTCCCGTCTCCACAGTTAAATCAGTTAAAGACAGAGGTTCATGAAGAATTGTTTTGCTTTCATCATGAATGAAGACTGCTGCAGCTGTTTACGCCTGATTAATCTGAGTCCAGATCTGTGACTGCAGCCTCCCTTTGCTACAATTATTATCATTAGCATTATTATTGTTATTACCTCCATCAAGGAGGTTCTGTTTTCACCTGTTTATTTATGAGACAGAAGTCCTGAACTGATGGGGGAGGGGCTAGGGAAGAACTTGTAGTGGATACACTACAACATTCAGTCAGCACTAGGGATGGGCACTTGAGGAAATTTCCTTTATCGATCATCTGGAAACTTAACGATCAATTATCGATTCATTATTAATTTTTTATATAGAAAAATGCCTGTGGCAATAAATACTAAAGAAAGCGTATTTTTCCCCCTTGGTTATTTTTCAGCTCGAAATGTTCCCACACCAAACTTCGCCTTGCTCTCTTCATGTTTACCTGTGATGCCTACATCAGCCCGCGAGCCAGCAGCTGACTATTCATTTTTCTCTGTTGAAAATTTAAATCGTGCCCCTGCTGGTTGCTGCCATGTGATTGACAAAATTCTTAACGATCAATTATCGATCATCGATTAATCATGCCCACCCCGAGCCAGCACAACCATGTCAATTACTACACACATATACAACCGATGCATGTAGCTGGTGTTACACCCATTACAAACAGATTAGAGAGAAACTTAAGTCAGGTAACACTAAAGTTATTGGGAGGGACCACAATGTGAGTTAAGAGACAGTACAGTACAGTTTTGACAGCTGTGTGTATTTTGATATAACAGTATCAGGGCTCCACCATCGTAACTACACATGCTCACCGTGCAGCAAATTACTTAAACAACCTGCAAATCCATGGTGCGATAACTGTCTGATAAAAGGTGGAGATCATTTGATAAATAGCTGTTTGGGTTTAATGTGCAGTTATAACAGATAAAATGTTTTACATTTATCTCCAAACATTATACAGACAGGCTCTTAACTGTGCAGCTGACAATACACCAAAGTGTCAAAAACTGCAGTTCCTCTAATGACCACTATAGTCTGGATCCAACAGTGAGTCAATCCCCATAGACTCCCTTGTTAAAATGTCCAACTTTACAGCAGAAATAATGTTTACAGCCTGGTACAAAAACAGTTTTGGTCTCTATAGCAAATTTTCTCCTTCAACAACTGTTTATATAAATCATCTGTTTACATTTTATTAAGGCTTAAAGTTATGTATAATTGAGGGCATCGCCTCTTTGAGTGACAGGTGGTTGAGCGTATGCATGCCACAAACTGACATAAACCAGAGTCTCAGCTCTACCCACACCCTACCTCTTTGTTCATTTCTGGATTAACTGGGAGTTGAGCCAGAGTCAGACAATGCAAAGATGGCGGCAGTGGAGCAGCTCACTCTGAGCTTTAAAACCGCTCCTTAGAAACCTCTGGGTGACATTACAGAGGCTACGTCCATCTTTATTTATAGTCCATGAGAATTGGTCATAGTGGTATTTTAGTATTTTACTTAGTAGCCTCGATTTCAGTCACTCCTGTGTTAAAGTTACAATACACGTTACAAACAAAACACTTCCTGTAACCATTTCACATTAAAATCCCTCTAGCGTTTCAGTGGACAGAAACCCATTGTTTCTTAACAGGGCTTTATTGCTGTGCTGTAGTAAGAGTACTGTCTCATTTCCAGTTGCTGGTGTTTCTGTGTTTACATGCCTACATGATCTGCTAATTTCTTTAGCAGTTAGCAACGACTTCTCTCTCTGTCCCTCTCTCCTGCTCTCTGTGCTCGGTGTGTCTTATGTTTAGTTATTCCTCTGCCTCCTTTAGCAATAATGATACATGAAAGCAGTTTATTTGCTTTACAGCTAGCTAAGTTCACAACACTGCAACTGTAAACACCCCCCTAAAAGAACCTGTTTGATCCAGATCGTTTATGATCAGTCAGTCAGTCAGTCAGTCAGCTGGACAGTCAGTCCAGGTTATAGGGCTGGCCCTGGAGTTGCGATCAAGCCAAACTGTTAAATTGGTAAACATTAGAGTTACTGTTTCTAAAACCAAGACATGACATCAGCTTTACTGTTGAGGAAATCAGACACATATAAAAAATTTTTTAGAGCAGGACTGTAATTTACACATTTAGTAATGTAAGATCATTAAGAAAAAGCATTAGCTAACAATAACAAACACTACCTGGCTAGCTTTTATAAACTGCGAAGGCAAATATTTTGTAAAGATGTAATTAAAACTGTAGATTTGGGGAAATATTGGTTTGAGAATTTTTTATAATTACCCTTTAATATAATTCTACCACATACACAGCCAAACAGTCTGTGGACAGGAAGGAGGTCTATATTGATCTGACAGACGCTGACAAGTAACTCACCATCACCATCACTATTCATATTTTAAGACACTACAGTATCCAGCTACAAAAAAGCCTGAGAAGCTGCGGTTGGAACAGAAGTACAGAGCTGTTGCTATGGAAACGATACACTGTCTTGTATAGTTGCAGCAATGCAAAATGGCAGGTTTTCAGCACATTGCCAGTAGTTGCAAATTTCAACTGGTCTCGTCGTGAATCTTGTCTAAATTTGCCCTCAGAGTTCATCATTTTGCATTGAGCTACACACTGAAGCTCAAACTGTGAAATCTGAGGCAAAAACAAATCACAGTCTGTAATCAGTGAAAACAAAGGTTTACATGTCACAGCATCACAATCATATAAATAATATATGTCATAGTTTTAATTTGTGATTGTGTAATACACACGTATGATATAATACTGAGGGTGTACTGTTGAATAAATTATGCTGCACATGATATAGTGCAACATAAGTATGTGCTTTATACAACCACAAAATGCTACCTCCACCAGTTTTATAAATAAAACCTTCACTAAAGGTTATTTTTTGTGTAACTTTTAAAGAACGTTCCTTAGGGCTGTCCCTTTATTTTCAAAATTCAAACATTTCTTCAAAAGTGGAAAAAAAAAACATTTGAACTGTAGTGATGTGTTTGAACTGAGAAGCAGTGTGTGGACGTATTTCAGGCTATACAACGTAGATGGCTAACTGAAGGCTGTTTGTGGACTTTGTATAAAGCAGCTGTCTTGCACTACAATGACTAACTTCCTAAAGTGGAGCAGCTGACTGCCTACTATTCAGAACACTCAGGCCCCTTGCCTGAATCTCATAATAATGCCACCACGGGTAAGATAGCAAGATTTATATGCAAGCATTAAGCATATTGGGGGGGGGGGGGCACACCATTAGGGAACGTTCCCTGAAAGTTACCTATTTATGTGGTCATTTTGCACCTACATATGCTCACAATATGGAACTTCATATGTAGCAGACTGCCAGAACAAGCACTGACTGAACAGAGCAAAAACATCCACGCAAATCAACATCCACACAAATGTAGACATGTACCCACAAGCACCACAAAGTTATTACCTCAGCAGAGGAAACACTTTCTGAACCACCACAGCACAGACGAGGCTCCTCCGTTGTGTGTTTGTTTGTTCAATCCTTTGGTTGGACTTGGGAAACTAATGACATTTCCATCACCCACAGCTTTACTTTGTGTTTAGTGCTAATTAGCAAATGTTAGCATGCTAAGACACAAAACCAAGATATGTAAAGACTACACCACATCAGCATGTTGGCATTGTCATTATAAGCATGTTAGCCTTTAGTGGTTAGCTTTTAGCTCAAAGCGTAACACACACAGTGCTTGATAATAAAGCTGAACGATGAGCAAACAAAATCATGTTGCCATTATTTGATTATCTTTTAATTTTTCAATTTGACTTTCACTAAAAAAATATAAAGATGATGATGTGATGTTTACTGGGGTCTGTAACAAACAAGCTTATCTGGAGGATATGATTTGTCGGCCACAGCCTCTCTAACACCACAATGCTTCATTTAAAATGGTGTGTTGTGACATATTTTACCTTTATCCAAAAACTGAAGCTGCTGTGATTTGGATATTGAACTTTGATGATGAAATTTCAGTAATATTTCAATGAAGTGTTGTAGTTGACAGTGGGTTCAAATCAATGTTGGTTTTCATGAGAAACTGTTGACAATGACATTAATCTGTGAAATGATACTTTAATGTTTTACCTGCTGTCATGTGAAAATATTATAGGCATCACCATAAGTAATACAAAACCATTTTGATAGCTATTTAAACTAAATGTGATATCTAACGATAGAACATATTCTAGTGCTGGTAGCCTTTGTCTAATTATAGCCTGTTCATGTATTTTAATGTAATGTCATGCGGCTGAGAGTCCAGACCTGTAGGGGTCGTTCTACCTGTACCTGCAGATCCAACAAGGAGCTCAGGAAACGCGTTTGAAGTGCTGAATTTTAATTCTCTCGGATTTACCTGCTGTGTGCCACTTAACACCTTCAAGACTAACATGCGCGCGCGCGCGCGCACGCCACACACTGCGCTGCTCGTAAAATGCACGCGCCTAAGAGCACATACACAAATATATAAAAGATGAGGATGTTGACATAATTAGAGCAGTCCAGCGGCTCGAGGCCTCTCCCCCCTTACAGCGGTGAGGAGGACAGATGAGACGGGCCCGTCTCTCTGCGAGGAAGACGCGGGCCACGACAAGCGGGAAGAGAAGCCAACACTGAGAATCATTGAGACACACGGATGAACGGTGGGGCCGTGACACAAATGAAAATCCTACCGATCTGGACGCTCGGAGATCCACACAGCGCCTCGCGCCATAAGAGGGTGACCACAAACAGCAGCTTCATGGTGAAGATGATGATGATGATTCTCCTCACAGCAGTCTACGGTAGCGGGTCCTACAGAAACATCACCTCCATCACACACGGTGTGGGCTCATGGCGTGATTCCAGGTCCGCGCAGAAGCGTCTCCGGCTCTGCGGATGCCCTGTCCTCTCTCTGGAGATGCGCGTGCCGCCGCCGCCGCCGCTGCTGCTGCTGCTGCTGCTGGACTGGGGGCGCGCGCCGAGGATTGCCTAGGAATACCGATGAGGCACGAGAAGGAACCGAGAACAGCCGACAGTTAAACTTAAAGCAATATGAGGCTGTAGGGTACTGATAGTTCAGTACGAGAACACACAGATTCATTTGAGCTGAAATCACACAACAATCTGCACTGGCTCTCAGCACGGGCTCTGTGTTCTCTGCATGATTCATACAACAGAGTAATAAAATATTATGACGCATCAAGTCCAGCTTTTATGTGAGTGTGCTATTCCACAACATGTCCACAGAAAAGGAGGCTTTACAAAATATGGTTTTATACACAGTCTAATAAAGAGGCAGCCTCCATAAGCTTCCTTTCACTATGTTTCAGTTACACCACTATGACATTGAAATGGCTGAATGGATTCACTTTCATTATTTTTTACCATCTTAATGTAGATGATTCCGTTCTTTTGTGGACATGAGGCATGGGAGCATATATTGTGTTATAATTTTACATAAAAAAAAGAAGAAGCATGGATCAGCTGCCTCTCCATGGGCACAGAGAGGGTTACACCCGACCTGAGGGGACAACATCCGATTAAACATCTGCTAAAAAGGGAAACCCACTGGATCTTCACTCAGGAACCATATGGCCTTATAAAACACTGAGTAAATGTGTAGGTTGATCTTTCATTTAATAGATGTACTATATGTTGTATCACATACAAAAATGGGCCACACTCAAAAAAAGAAAAAAGCTATATATATAATATAATTTTAACTAACATTAAAGATTGAAGTATGGATCTGTGTGGAGACACAACGACGCCAAACACAAACTGCTTTTACAAAGTTTAATGAGGATTTACAGAACGCTTCAGCATCTGGGACAAAAAAATAATAAATTGTTTAAATATTAATGTGACTTGTAGTAGCCTATATCAAATAAATAAAGTGTATGACCCTGGGGAACTGCTGGTCCTTCCCTGACTTATGTGTGCTGTATCCATGAATGTGTCTACAGTGCAGCCTATAAGAAGAGGTACACAGATGTTAGTAGGTCCGGAGGAGTTTGACTGCCAGAAACAGTTTAACTAAAGAACGTCTCTGATTCTTTTTCAACCATGTTGCCTGTCTCCACCGGTCCTACCTATTAAGAACATATACTGTAGTACAAACATGATAGGAGAGGTCTTGAATACTATCTCTGATAATTAACATCTACACTGTGAGCATCAGTGTTTCTCCATGCACACACCACTATCATTGTTTCTCTTATTTAAAGCATATTGGAGGTGTGTGTATAAACATCCATGATTCATTATCTGTTTAGTTAATGATTTAATCAACAGATTTTGTTTTTAGTGTGAACAAAGAACATACAGTGACAGGAAAATACTGGTCACCCTTCAACTTGTTTTACTTATCACATTCATCAGAAAACATTTGTAAAGCGTTTACACAGATATTCATGATTTCAGATTCTGCAGCTATCTAACATGTTGATGACTGTAAACAACCTCAAAGACAGGAAGGATCATAGGGTCACAGACACCAGCTACCAGGTCTGTTGGTGTCATTTAGCACCTAAACAGAGACAGCAGCTACCAGGTCTGCGGGGTCAGTACCTGAATTGAGAAAGCAGCTACCAGGTCTGTAGGTGTCTGTTAGCACCTGAACAGAGACACAAGATACTAGGTCTGTTGGTGTCAGCTGGTACCCAAACAGAAACACCTGCTCAAAGGTCTTTTGTTGTCAGAACCTGAAAAGAGACAATAACTACCAGGTTTGTTGGTGTCAGTTAGCATCTGAACAGAGACATCAGCTACCAGGTCTGTTGGTGTTTGTTAGCACCTGAACAGATACATTAGCTAGCAGGTTTGTTGGCATCAATTGGCACCTTAACAGAGAGAGTTTCTAAGATTGAACTTTTATTACCTACCTTACCTCTTACCTTTTTCATTTTGAAAGTGTATCCATGTCATTGGGATGGCATGTGTCCATCAATGTCAGTGCTTATACAGTTAATATATGGTGAGTGCGTGGTGTTGGGAACTGCCAAAGCTTAACCTTCAAACAGACAACCTTCAACCTGACACCTGACAAACAGTTGTCAGGACTGGCCAAAATGACCTCACAATAATGGTTTTTAACCAAAATTGTCTTCACAATTATAGAAAGATATGTACACACTAAAAAGAACCACACACCAACACGCACACACAAGTACATGCAAATACACCATGTTGATTTAATTTAGAGTTGCTCTCATACCCAAGTTAAAAGGCTAAGTTAATGAGTCTAATTAGCCAATCAGAATCAACTTTGTCCATTTCTACCCAGTAACTATCGGTAGCACCTGCTGAGACACTGGTTGCTATGGTGACTGTGGCCACCAGGGGGAGGAGGGAAACACGCACACACAATCCCCTCTGTCTCCCTAGGCAGAAAACAGCTGACGTTGATGAAGATGAAAGGTTTCAATAAAGAGATTGATATCTTATATTTGTACCTACAGTTTACGGTTTCCTTAAAAAAACGTAAAACACATCAGAATGAGACCAAAACTGGTTGAAACAGGACAAAAATCGCTACAGTTGATATAAGTTGATATAAAAATTGTCAATGAAGGTTGGAAATTGTGGGATTTAAAAGGATTTGTCTGATTTTTTGTTGAAGGAAATTTTCAGGGATGGCAGTTAGGGTGCATTCCGATTGCGTAGTAGTTCCCTACGAAGTGGACTTCACAGGGTATTCAGCTATGTTAAGTAAGATTCCAAACCGTAGGGAGCACAAGGGAAGAACAGGGAAGAACTGAACAACCGTTCATCAGTTCGCCAAGGTTATGAAATCTCTCATCAAGTGAAGAGATGGCTGTATAGACTACCACATTAAAAAATGTGGTTTCCATTTTTTGAAGTGCATCATCAATAGGCTCATCTGGAGACTCATAACCAAAGTGCCTTTTTGTGGTTCTCAACCGTTTTTGTTTGAGTACAGCCTCCATATTCATCTCCTCACACATCTCCTTTGCAGTTGTCTGTGCATCAGAAAATCCAGTGTTTCTGTAAGAGGTGAGGCAATCTCTGGTTTTCTTCAGCAAGTCTACAGCCACATCTAGCTGCATGGAGGGTGACTGCATCCGTTTACTCACATGCTGGATCTTGTTGAGGATGTCATACCACATGGCTGTATAAATGGAAAAGCTCTGAGATCCAATCTCCTCAGCCAAAGACTGGGCTTCAACTCTCACCACTGGGTCTGCAGTAGTTTCCCTCAGAGCTTCTCTGACTTGCCCAGCCTGGTACCTTACTGCCTCAATGCTTTTTATCATGCTTTCTCATCTGGTCTCTGACCATGATTTTAGAGTGGTATTAACATGTTTCAGGACGATATCCCATCTATGGGTGGAGGCTGAGAAGAGCTTTGTTAAATGTCCAAAGTAGCCAGTGATATCTGGTGAGCTCTTTGCAGCATCAGCTATCACCAGATTTAAAGTGTGGGCACCTTTATTCTTTCCCTTCACATTGTCACCGTTGTCATAAGACTGTCCTCTGCAGTCCTCAAAGGGGATATTAAGCTTGTCCAGTCTTTTTAGGATGAGAGATGACAAACATTCCCCTGTTGTCTCCTCTGCCACAAGAAAACCAAAGAAATATTCTTGAATTAGTGATACGTCCTCTAGTGACACTATCCTGACAATGACAGAGGGCTGTTCCTTATGACACAGATCAGGGGTGCAGTCTAAAATAATGAATTACTTGGAATACTTGGCTGTTTTGATCTCTTCCACAATGCTTTCCAGTATTTCGCTGCTTTCAATTCATTTTTGATGAAATTTGGCCATGAGCTCCATCTCTTTTAGAAAGTTGCCATTACCTGGTTTGTTTAAAGTCTCTGTGGACCCCTTTAAAGCCATGTTTCTTTCAACTAAAGACTGAATAATTGGCACCAATCAAGAGAGAACATCACACCACCTGTTTCTTCACCTGTTATTCATAGTCAATAACGTCTAGGCCGATGCTTACACCTCTTGATGAATCTCACAAGTGTTACCTTTCTTTTGACAGATTAAGAAGATTGAAGATTATACGTGTAGACATCAGCCAAGATGTTACTGGCTAGGAGTAAATGAAGATGACACACAGCATAAATTCACAAAACTCTGTGTGACTATTACAAGCAGGACAAACGTTGGCTAACCAGATGTCAATAAAAATGTATGACACAGCCAGCTGGTGAAAACAACCCCTGAATAGGCATAACGTTAATATTTCCAATATATATCCAACAATATTTCCTATTGTTGATTAGCAAACCACATTACTATCATCCAAAAATAAGCTAGCAAGTTAACACTCTGCTCCAA